CAGTCCATGTTTGGCACTTCTTTTCTAAAAATCTGTTTTTCTCAAAACGAATTGCTGGATTTGGACTCTTTGGTTCAGATTAAGAACCGTGACGAGTCCGAACTATAGCACGAAGGCCCCACGCGGGCGCGTCTACAACTCCCAACAAACTAATGGGTCTAAAATCAGCTAATCCATTAGGATTATCATTCTTAGGAATGAGAGTGATGAAAGAACTGTTAATTCCAAATGAGAGCTTGGAAGAAGTATGAAAATCCCTCATGCAATGCATAACCTCAGATTTCAATAACTTCCAAAATTTCTGAAAGAATAGAAGATTAAATCCATCTGGGTCTGGTGCCTTATTTCCATCACAACCCTTGATAGCTGCCCTTACCTCACATTCAGAGAAAGCAACTTCCAGATCAGTAAATGCATCACTAGCTGCAACTGACTTAAAGGTGCCTCCTAGAGTTAGTCTAAATGCCCAGCTTTTAGTGAACTGCCTCCTGAAATGTTGTAAGACCGCAAGTCGTACAATAACTGGCTCCTCTAGAACTACTCCTTCAATTGAGATAGAATTGATTGAGTTTCTATTCTTTCTGCTACTAGCCATAACATGGAAAAACTTAGTATTCCTGTCCCCATTCATGATCCAGTTTACTCTAGACTTCTGATGCCAAAGCCTTTCCATCATCTTACTAAGCTTCCATACCTCCCATGTCACCTCTCTTCTTCTGTTCTTTTCAATTTCAGACAAACGTCTGTCTTCTGCAGTAATGTCAATACCATGCAGCTCTTCCTCTGTCTCCTTTAATTTTGTAGATACATTCCCAAAAACTTCAAAGTTCCATTTTTTCAGCTCCCCCTTGAGCAATTTTAGCTTTTGAATCAGTATATACCCAGCTCTCCCAGTAATCCTTTTTTTAGTCCAGAATTTTTCCAAAACAGAGGGGAAACATGGGTGCATAATCTATGCATTAATGAACCTAAAAGGTCTTGGCCCCCAATCCCTCTCATCTTCCATTAACAGGAGTAGGCAGTGATCAGAACAAGTTCTAGGAAGACCCCATAACTTGAAGTTAAATCTTTGCAACCACTCAGGATTTAGCAGAACCCTATCAATCCCACACCATTTCTCCCCCTCCTGAGCATTACACCGTGTGTACTTCCTACCAAGCAATGGTATATCATTCAACTCATATTTATCAATGAAGGCATTTAGTTCCTTCATCCACTTTTCCCTTATAAAACAGCCCACCCTTTCCCAATAAATCTGATCTCATTGAAATCCCCCCCCCCTCCAAGCACCATAGATTTGGAAAATCAGACTTTAATTTTAGTAAAGTATCCCAAAGAATACCTCTACCACTCACATCATTAGGAGTATAAACATTTAGTATAACACAATCAAAAGAATTCAGGAGAGTACCTGACAGGAGAACAAATCTTCTATTACAACAACAGTCCTTCAATTGAAATAAACTTGGATCCCAAATACAGAGTAATCCCCATGTTGTCCCTTTTGAATCCACTGCCATAAATTCCATGTTACTCCTTCCCCACAAGGTTCTAACTTCACTTTCTGAAATAGAAGCTTTCTTAGTTTCCTGCAATAGAAGTAAGTCAACCCTCCTATCACAAATGAGCTTCCTAATCCTTCCCCTCTTCTCAGATTTCCCTAATCCTTTGACATTCCATGACATTAACTTCATTAGTAAACATATAATATGCCAAATTCCCCTAAACGAGACACTTAGACCCCTATGCGACCTCCTTCTCCTGTCTTCTTCCTCTGTCTATTAATTCAAGCTCCACTAATTTCTCCAAAACTTCACTATCTTTACCATTGTATTGAATTCTCGGAATTTTACCCAGCTGAAGATTGGCTTGTGCTTCACTAAGGTTGTGCCTCCCTTTGCTTGAACCACTCTTAGTTGAAGCAGAAAGAGACAAGGTTGCTGCAGCAGCCTGAATACTGCGCACTTTCGGATAGATTTGCTTGATGGGGTACCTTTTTGACCATAAAGTCGAGCTAACCTTTTATACCCAACCTCCTTTGTGTTAGGCTTTACTGCACCAGGCCCTCTCACTTTCATCTTATCTTTCCTTTTTGACCTCTTTACTGGGTTGGAGCTTCCATTGATGGTAGTTTGGCTTGATTGCACCAAAAGCCCATCTTTCCTAGTACCAGCCCATTGAGATTTAGTTGTGTTGAATATAAATGTGCCCACCCCCTCTTCACTCAATCCATTTGGAGAATCAGGCCCATGAATATGGCCCAAATTAACTTCTAGGTTGATACCAGGCCTGTGCCCACTTGACCCACTAACACTTTTAATAAAACCACAGGTAAATAGATGCTCATCAACCCTCTGGTTAACATTAACCCCATGCAGTCCACAGTCTGTCATCACCAATAGAGATCTATCCATGCATACCTCAATCCCCAATATGTTTCCCACGCCACATTTAGGCTCTTCGACCACTGTATTCACTTGGACACCTTTACAAGTCAGCTCCAGCCCACATTGGGTCTCTTCAACTACTATATCAATATTTTCCAGATCATCATCTTCTTCCTCAACCTCCTTAGCCATGTTATCTACTTCATTTTCAGCACCACACCCAGCAATTGGTTCTTGATTAACAGCTTCATTAGAGCTATGGACATCCTCAACCTCACTAAGTATCATACGTCCATTGTCAAATATGCTAACTGGTTGCTCTTCATACACCATGACAGGATATAGCCTTCCTTTGCATTCCATATTAATGGTTTTATTGATGAAGTCCATACACTGAGTTGCAATTCTGACTCTTCCATAACTAAAGGACTTTGCTTGGCAAATGTCACCTTCCAATCGAATAACACCTCCCCAAATGTTGCCAATCTTATTAAAAGTGTTTCTATTCCACATACTTAGAGGAACCCCATGGCATCTAAGCCACAGACACCTCTCTTGTTCTGCACATGCTCCTGGTTTCCACTCTTTAACAAACTCACACCAATCCCTACACCATTCTCTGACCAATGATAATATTGCATCCTTTTCTTCTTTAGATCTAAAGGTTACCACAACATCTCTGCCTTCTCCACTCCTGACCATTACATCCCCAATTCCTTTCTCCATAAAAATCTTCTCAATACCATGTACAGAATACTCATCTTTGAATCTCAAGATCACACTCTTATGCAACCAACCATGACCGACTTCGTCCACCATGATAGTAGTTTCAACTTTTTCTGCAGGTACTCTAGCGTTTGTTTTTATTATTTCAGCATATGACCTCTGTAAACCATGCTGACAGTGTACGTTTCTTCCACATGCTTCATTAGTACCTTTGCACCCTTTAGGCTGGTTTCTATTCTGTGCTTCTTCCTTAAATCTATCATACTCTGCCATTTTAACTTGAATCTCCCTGTCCTCTACCCATAGACCATTTGCTTTAGTAACTGCAACCTTTGCTACAACTGAGCAGTCGTACTTGACAAAACAAACCTGGTATTTGTGATCTTCCTCCTCTTCTACGAGATAAATACATCTTTCACTATTCCAAACTTTGTAAACAATTTGAACAATGTTCTTGGATCCATACGGGAAGGCAAATTATCCACAAAACACTGAAAATAATTCAGACATTGGCTCTTTGCTCCTTGTTTCTTTCCCTCTTCTTTGCTTCACAATTGGAATCCACCCCTCTTGCTTCATCAAAAAATTCCAACGACACTAAAGTTTTTCTTGTTGTTGTTGTAAACTCAAATGAAGCAATCTTCTTCTTTTGAGAGTTTGAAAGATTTGATGAGATATATTAGTTAGGACTTAATTAAGTAAAAGTTAATAAATTAGGACTTGTGTGTAAATGCCCCATAAATTATTTTTAGTCATAATTAAAAAGGTATAATAAGTCATAATCAAACACCATATAAGTTGTAAGCAAAAATCTCTTGAATCATAATCAAAATAATAATGATAATAAGTATAACAAACATCACAATAAGTAACCAACGACGTTAGTCCGATTTGCCTGAACTCATGCACCTCACTAGGAGGTTAGTAGTTTGAATCTCCCTACCTGCATGTGAAACTTATTCTCCGCGTATTAATAGAGACTTTCTCTTTGTATTTTTATTGAACTTCATTGTTATGATAGTAATTTATTGAATTTCATTGAACTATCTTATACAAATCAAATTTTAAAAAAAAAAATCACAATAAATCATAACTAATATCGTAATTAATCATAATCGAGTCATAATAAAAAAATCATAAAAGTCATAAATTTTTTACTGTGTATTATATAATTCCCAATCAATTGCATGATATTTAAAAGGAAAAATTACCTTAGTAATTTTCAAAAATTATTACACATTAACGAAAAAAATTATGATTTTAATTATTAATATAGTAAATGACACTAGCGATCTTTATATTTTAATTTTTGTGTCAAAATTTGACCATTATAACAAAATAAAAACTCTAATTTTTTATTTAAACTCTATTTTTTTCATATTAATTATCTTTTTCTTTTTTCTAATTTTTCTCGTTCTCTAATTTTTTTTAATATTATATATATATATATATATATATCTAATGCCTGCCACTTATGATTTTTTTTAATAAAAATATAAGCTTATTTTTAACTCTTATTTAAGATTTGAAAATTTTAATACTCATTTTCAAATTTCAATTCTCACTTTATATATGTATATATCTTACTCCTTTTATTATGGTATTTTCTTGCTTCCGTCTCCCTATTTTCTTCTTGTTTTTCTGTTTTGAATTTTTTATTTATTTTTTTATTGTTGTTTCTGTTTTCTCTTTAACTCATTATATATCTATTTAAAATTTATTCATTTGCTCCCAACACCCACCCCCAACCCCCCCTTTTAAGGAAGATGTAACAGAATTATATTTTCTCATCTTTGCTTCACATGTTTTTCAAAAATTGAAAATATTTGAAAACTTGCAAATAATATTTACAAAAATTCTATTTGCACACGATGTTTCTTCTCAATACACATTGTTAGAACATTAAATTTTTATTACAATAATAAAAACACAAAATTCTCTTTACACACCATTACATATAAACATATATCATACATCATCATCATCATCATCATCATCATTATCATTATCTAATACTCATCATCTCCTCCATTATAATCTAATACACTCGTATCTTTCATTGTCAACAGATTCACCTCATTCTATTCTCCATTATCCTTCTTCACCTTAGCTAAAAAAACATTGTTGCCTTTGAAGATTTAGGATTTTGAAACATTTAAATCAATCATTTTTTAAGATTTGACACCATGGATGGAATTTAAATTGTTGATTTACAATAATGCAACAATGAAAAACAGAGTTTATAGCGTTTTTATTTTTCTCATTAGTATAATTGTTGGGACGTTTTTGTTCGACACGTGCTGGACATTTTCACAATGTTCAATATTTACTTCTGAACAAAAATATTTTGTTCAAATTATTGATGCCAAACAATTGTAAATTGTTCATACATAAAAAAAAAAAAGAACATGATGAGTCCGAACAAAATTAGACAATAACATTGGACAATCAATCAAAATTGCTATAGAAAGGTGAGAATCGCTAACCAAATCAAATTCAAATAGGGAAAACTAAACTAAGTGAGATTTAGAGGTAAAAATCATAGATTTTTGAAAGCGAGAATCGAATATCTTCACCCAGCAGTTTCCAGCAGTTTCTTCAATGTGATGTCGATCTTCAATACTTTGCTTTCTTCTTCGAGATGAAGAAAATAATGCAATTAAAGTAGTACACCCTATTTTTTTAAAAATTATCAAATTGACGTATTTTTATAAATGTGTCATATATGTAATCTCATATCCATGTCTATTCTTTTTAAAAAGCACAGATAAATAAAATAAAATATGATGATACCGAAATCAAATTTCAACAATAAACATGTAAACTCGAGTATAACATTTTTGCATATAACACAATAAAAATAGTATAGACTTGGAATAAAATTTTCATTAGGAGCTACTGAAAAAGAGTCAAGTTATTCTTTTAAATTAATACTTGATTCTTAAAAACGGTTTCTCACCATCTTTTATGATAGTATCCTACTCATACATGTATCATATTTTTTAAAAAAAATTCTATTGTCATATCCCAATCCATATCATACCCGTATCCTGTATCTAGATCTATGTTTCATATTTTATATGCCATTTTACACACAATAGCTTCTTGTGCCATGATTTGTATGTCAACCATTTTGGTTTGAAGACTTCTTCAATAGGCTCTTGCGTGAACATTTCTATATCAAACAAGAGGCTTTTTCTTTTCAAATTGGCATTTTTTCAAGGGCCACATCAAGGGTATTGACAGTAGCTCCTTTGTACTTGTACCACTTTGCACAAACTAAGAAGTACCCCAAATTCAAGACCTCCAAACCAGCAATCAAATAGTAAAAATAATCCAATCTCCCCTTGTTAAGATCCTCCGGCAACCAATTCCCCTTCCCAGCTCCACTTGTCGCACGATGAACTATAGACACAAGGAAGCTACTCAAATAACTAGACAACGCAAATCCACAAAACAAGAAAGATCCAGCTATGCTTCTCATATTTTCCGGGAATTGCTTGTAGAAGAACTCAACTTGACCAATGACAGTAAATGCCTCAGAAAATCCCGTTAGTATCAACTGAGCAATT